TATTTTTTTTAGAGGGTGGGAGGAGTGAAAAGATGATTTTCCATTTTAAAAGAACATCATTGGAACAGTTGTTCAAAATAAAAGCCATGACAAAGGCTTTTAAACTAGGACTTCTACTATAATTATCAGCAAATCAAAAGACTTTTTCCATGTAATGCTAATTTTAAAAAATAATTCAGAAATTCATTTTTAATTATATTGATATAGATACTAAATAATATAAATCAAATGTAAGTTTACCATTTTGTCTGTATAGGAATTTTCTTTATTGAAATATAAATTTTAAGGTATAAGAAAAACAGAGCTCATTCATTTCTTTTTAGGGACTGAATTTTACGAAACTATAAAGCAATTAAGGAGTGGCTACACTTTTAAATAGGGGTAACCATATCGTTATAAAATGAGTATTTTGAGATGCTTGAGATGAAAGATAGGTGTTTAGGCTGTTTATATACCTCAAGATCTGATGAAGAATAAGAATTCCATAAGCAATCTCAGTAATTACAAATAACCTAAACATCTGGTATCATGTAGACCTGACATTCAGATGATTCATAAAGTCTTTCTAGTCTTTACCTGAAACCTGGAAAACAGGTTTTGAATGTTATAGAAATAAAGTCATTACTCTTTAAACCTCATATTGAAAAACACAATTTTTTTTAAAAAAAGCAAAGTGAATAGCAATATATTATTGCTAAAATGCATGATTTAGAAGAAATCATGTAACTTTCCCAAACTTTGATTTTCCAGACTGAATGTGGAAAATAACCTTATTTAACATCTACTTCATTAGGATAGTGTGAGGATTGAAAGAATAAGTTTTGGTCAAATTCTTTGAACTCAGATGAAAGATGTTTTAGAAGCATAATTATTATAATAAATGTGTAGTAGCACTGGAAAGAATTTTAAGTTATACATTTATTTTGAAGAATTACTCTGGAAAACTTCAGAACAAAGGTACATACATACCTGAAGTTGCATATCAGCTGCAGCACAAACCTTTTTAGACTCACAAAGACGAGACACCATATTGTGGGGCATTGACTGGAAAAACAAAAGAATATATATGTGAGTAAATTGCTTAATAAGCCACTGTACTTTGCTACTTAAGAGGTGGTAAACTTAAAAACAACATAAAATAACAGAACTTCATTGTGGTTTAAAATAACTTTGAAATATTTTAGTTGACAAGATAACGAAGGATGAAGACATTCCATTTAATTTCAAAAAGTGGTAATTGCCAAATACGGGTTTATACATGAAAATACAGGATTGCAGGGAGCTAAGATATTGGCATTATTCTTTAAAAACCTATTTATAACTTTGGTAAAAGTTAATACTTCTTCTGCTCCTTTGTACCAATGAATGAAAACCCATTCAGGTGCTCTGTTGACTTGTAAGTGCATATAATAAATGGTTATAGAAATAAAAGATTAAAATGTCAAGAAATAAATTCTAATTCCTGATGCCAATAAATTCTATTGGAGTGGAACTGATATGCTAATAAATACCCATGATACTGAATTACACATTCTATTTTTGCACCTGAAAGAACTGCAGAGCTTGGACAGTCAGTGTAATGTCCCTGTATGATTCATGGCTTCCTCTCTGAGACTAATCAGGCCTAATCCTATAACATCACTTCTTCTCTGAGAAATAAACTAGTAATAGAGTTGAAAAAGTACTTTAGGCCATCTTAGTCTACTTTAAAATCATTAACACTGATATTTATTGAAGAGAGCTACCACTTTATAGAACTCTATAATCTAATTTAAGCTTAAAGCCCCTTTAAAAAGAAATCCATTGTATAGAAGACCTATGGCACGTTGCTCAGCACTCAAATTACATAAATAAGCCACCAATGAATGATAATGTGATCAGTAAGGGGAACTAAGCTCTCTCTATGCTCCCCCACCCCCGAACAGTGCCTGGCACACAGCAGACAAATATTTGTAGAAGAAAAGAATGAACACAAGAATGATCATTAAAAAATGGCCTCTGAAGTGGAAGATTATAGCAGTAAATGAAGAAGGCTCAGGCAACAAATCTTTCTCAAACAAAGCCTTTTCTCTTTCTGTTTGTCTATAAAAGCAAACCAGGCAGAAAAGGCAATTTAAAGAGTTAAGACATGGGCTGAAGGAAGCTGTATAGTGTAAGTTCTGATATAGGTAAAAGAACTGGGGCTTTTTGACACTGGGACACCCACCTTTTATAAAACAAAATTTCCTCGGTCAGGATTTTAAAAAGTAAAGAAAGATTTTAAGTCATATAAAGTATACCAAGAGCTTGTATCAAAACGTTCAGGTTTCTTTAAATCTTACTTTATATTAATACCTTATGTTGACAGGACTTGTGTTATATTTTAACTTTTCATGCTTCACAAAACTTTAATAGCTTCACCTTCATAAAAAAGTATATGTGGTAGAACAGCATTTTGTCTCATTTATCCAACAATGAAAACTACTGTGGCCGCACACTATATTAGGCACAGGGAACAGAAAACAGTGAACAGATGGGGTGCCTGGCCCCAAGAGCTTCACAGGCTAGCATTATCCATGTAAGCACAATTTTAAAAAGGTACAAGTGTAATGGGTGCCAAGAAGAGAAAGCAGCACAGGGCAGTGTGAGTGCCATAACCTAGAAAAGCTTAACAAGAGAAAATAATGCAGAAGTGAGCTTTGCAAAATGAACAGGTGTTTACTTGGCAAGGAAGGGATGGGCTGCAGGGAAAAGGAAGCAATCCTCATAGAAGAAACAGCATATGCAAAGAAGAGGGCCAATGGTAGGAGGTGAAAGAAATCCACGGGCAGGAAAGCAGGGTTCCAGCCAGGCTGGAAGGGGCAGGCAGGAACCAGGGCCTGCCTCTGGATGAAGCCTGGAGGTCCAACCAAGCAGACACTGGTCTCCACCCTCAGACTCTATGTCTGTGGTAAGCCACTGGGGAGTTTTAAGCAAAAAAGGTCACATGGTCAGATCTGTGTTTTAAAAAGATTCCTTTGCATGCAGTGTAGACATTAAATAGGCAGAATGAAGGAGTGGATTGGGACAAAACAGTTGGGGGGCTATAGTTAGCGGACCAGTACAGTCATCATTATTAACTTAAGCAATTGCCAGAGTGAGGGGGTAGAGAGGAAAGCATTAGAGAGGACTGCAGCTGAGAGGGAGGTGAAAGAATGTGAGTACATAAACAGTTAACTGTTTCCAGAAGGGTGACTGACAGTGCAGAGAGAGTGAGGGCAGTAGCCGCAATGGGAAGAAGGAGGAAGCAGAAGTTTTTGTTTAAGGTTGGGAAAAGCTTAAGCAGGCTTAAGAAATGCTGATGGTAATGACCCATAGAAGGGACAAAAACTAGAGCTGTAGAAAAGAGACAAAATTCCTGATAAGGCAGAAAGAGAGGCTGAGCAGATACAGGGGAGAGGAGGTTCAGGGCTGGGCATTTCAACTGGATGTGAGTTCTCAGGGAGGTCAAGAGGACTTTGTTGTAGGAGGTTGAATTCAGAGGGTTATGGAAGTTAGAGAAAGTTGCAGAGAGGGCCCATGGAGAGTGATCCATTAAGAAGTGGAGATTCACTAGCCCCTGGGAGAGCTGGTGATTCCCATTTGGCCTGGGGTCAGGCAGAACTGAGCTGCCTCCCTGCAGCACAGAGGACAGGTGGGGAATGGAAGTTGGATGAGGAGGAAATTCCTCAGCAGAGGGAGAGGGAGGCAGTCTGCAGGCCAATGGCAAGGTGCCCTTAAGGAAGTGGGGGTAGAGAAACAAGCAGCCACAGGGCCCGCAGTGGTCAGGCATCTTAGGTTCACTATTTCCACTCTGAAGACAATGATGTGGAAATGCCAAGTACTGGATCTAATAGCCAAGCTCAACATACCCCTTTCCATTAGGAAGTAGCTTGTATATTTAGAGGCCAATATCTCAGAGATTCAACCCATACAGGAAAGACCAACAATAAATGGAAAATTTAATGAGGCTTAATTCTTTATTTATCAGGTGTACAATAAAACAAAAAATGTAACGAAAAAGAATATGTAAGAACAATAAAAATGGAAAACAGATCATCAAAAATTATATATTGAAAAATAAACATGCTACTGTAGTTACATAAAATGTGAATGCCAGGGGAAATGAGTACCACTGCTGGATAAGGTTACATGGGACCTCTATTATTTTTTAGCAACTTCCTGTGAATCTATATTTATTTCAAAATAAAAAAAATAAGTACTAAAAACCCTCCCAAAATTATGTATTCAAAGCCTCCTATACATACTGTACTGAATAAAGTATGTATACCAAAACTACAAAGAAACATAAGTAAAGGGCAAGTACAATCCCAGAATAGTTTGTTTGTTTTCTGTTTGCTTGTTTATTTATTTATTTAAATCCTCACCTCAGGATATGTTTTTATTGATTTTTAGAGAAAGAGGAAGGGATTGAGAGAGAGAAAGAGAGAGACGGAGAGAGAGAAAGAAAGAGACATTGTTTGGTGCCTCCTGTATGGGTCCCTGACCAGGGATTGAACCCGCAACCTAGGTATGTGCTCTGACTGGGAATTGAACCAGTAACCTTTTGGTGTATGGGACGATGTTCCAAACAATGGAGCCACTCGGCCGGGGCACTGTAGAATTGTTTAAAGGAAAGAATCATTAACCCATCAAATCACAAACTAAATAATAAATTAATATTATGTTTGCTATAAATATAAGAACAGATGTTCATTTTCTTTTTTAATCTAGTTGGGTCTAGTCAACTGGTCTTAATAAATGCATTTCAGCACTTGGAATGGAGTTAGGAAGTACTTCCTTTTTTAAATTAAAAGAACAACAAAAATAAAATAAAACTTATATAACCACACAAACTGATTTTCTTAAGTTATATGTAAATTTTTAAAAATAATATTTAGAAGATAAACTTTTTTTTTTTTTTTAAATGATTACTGGTTTATTATAAAGAGTACAACTAAAGAATAGCCAAATGGAAGAGATGCATAGGGCAAGGTATGGGGAAGGAGGGTGTGTGGAGCTTCCATGTCCTTTCTGGGCTTGTCACCCTCTCTGCACCTTAAAGTGTTTATCAACCTGGAAGCTCTCCAAGCCCCACTGTTTGGTTGTTTAGTTTCTTTGTTTTTTTTAAATTTATTTTTATTGTTGAAAGTATTATAAATGTCCTCCCCTTCCCCTCCATTGATCCCTCCACGCTGCGCCTCTCCCCTCCAGGTCTTCACTGTCTCTGTCCATGGGTTATGCACATATGCATATGAGGTCTTAGATTAATCTCTCCCCACCCATCCACCCCTGCTTTCCCTCTGAGATTCGTCAGTGTTACATGCTTCTATGTCTCTGAATCTATTTTGTGCATTGGTTTATTTTGTTCATTAGATTCGACATATGAGTAAGATCATGTGATACTTGTCTTTCTCTGACTGGCTTATTTTACCTAGCATAATTCTCTCCACGCCCCACCATGCTGTCTCAAAGGGTAAGGAATCCTTCTTTTTTACAGCTGCATAGTAATCCAGGGTGTAAATGTCCGAGAAGATGCTTGATATGATTTTAATCTTCTTGAACTTGTAGAGACTTGTTTTGTGCCCTAACATGTGGTCTATCTTTGAGAATGACCCATGGGCACTTGAGGAGAATGCATATTCTGCAGCTTTGGAGTGAAATGTTCTGTAAATGTCAATTAAATACAGCAAACATTTGGGTCTTGTTTGCTTATTCATTCAGCTACCCTACGGCTTTTGATTGGAACATTTAATCCATGTATATTTAAGGTTATTATTGACAGGTACTTATCTATTGCCATAAACATTAGAAGGAATAAAGAGCAGATTAGAGGAAGCTGAAGATTGGATCAGTGAATTAGAAGACAGGGTAGAAAAACCCTCTCAATCAGAGAGCCAAAAAGAAAAAACAATTAAAAAACAGGAAGAGAGTTTACAGGAGCTGTGGGACAACATGAAATGTAACAATATTCACATCACAGGAGTGCCAGAAGATGCAGAAAGTAAGCAAGGGTTACAGAACCTGTTTGAAAAAATAATGGCAGA